AGAGGATAACAGCCCTCACTCCTTGAAGCGGGTAAAGCTTACCCAAGAAGTAGTCTTCTTGTTAAATGCTTCCAAAATAGAAAATTGATCCTGCTTTATCTGCACCTTCCTCATACATCCACTATTGGCAGCATTTGCGATAAACTCCCTCCCTTGTGGCAAAACCAGCAGCTCTTGTCCTGTTATCATTCCTAACATACCATTATTTGCTCCCGAAAGCCATGTTAACATCAGCTACACCCTGTGGTATCTACCATCCACAACACAGGCCCAGAGCCTACCCCCCAATCACGCCCAAAACATTACAGGCTCACTTAAAGCCCCCCTAGGAACCCTCTGGTGCAATGGAACCCTAACAAAATGCCTCAATACCTCCATTTGCACCCCTTGCCTCCCAGTCACTGTCTTTCCAACTCTCAGTGTAACGCCAGGAGGAATTTTGAAGTCTGTGGGACCTGTACACTCACTCCGGCTCTCAAACCAAGTGAGCAGTTTTCCTACCAGCGCTGGTAGGACTCAACTTCGCCTCCTCCTTAACCACAGCCAGTATGTCCAGAGGAGCAATAGGACAAACCAAGATGTAGTCCCAAACCTTCAATGACAAAATACAACTCATGATGGATTCCACTTTTAACTCGCTTGTCTCCCTCCAGAAAGAACTGACATCCTTAGCCCAAGTCACCCTGAAAAACCGCCGAACCCTTGACTTATTAATAGCAAAGGGGGAACATGTATGTTTTTAAATGAAGAATGTTCATATTATATTAATGAATCAGGTGTAGTTGAACAAAATGTTAAAGCACTCCGCACCATGGCCAATGAAATCAGAAAACGTCGGTGTAGCACCACCAGCTCCTCATGGTTTCAAAATCCTGTCATGACCTGGATTATGCCCTTTGTCTGGCCTCTGATACTAATCTGTACTGTTAATTTTAGCTCCCTGAGTGTTTAAATTTTTGGAGGAACAAATGAAAGACATCTCCAAACTAACCTTCAATGAGCTCTTACTTCACCCTTCAGCCTGAGCCCTGAACCTTCAGACTCTTAATCCCTCCCCTTATTGCCCTAGCTCAGTAGGAAGTAGTTAAAGACAGAACTCTACACCCATTACCACTAAGAGTATTGGATGCTTGGACCGGATCCAATGCTTGGACCGGACCTAAACGAGTTTGCAAAAACAAGATGATTTCTTACAGACCACATCCTGACTCAGATCCTGGAGCTGTAGCACCAAAAACCTCCCTTTTACCAACATATAATTCCTTGACTCGGGCCCTATATATGTCCCACCACCTCACTGCCAGGTGCGCCTTCCCTAACCTAACTCGGGTTGCGGAATTCACTGGGGAGTTCCTCCCTTAATAAAGCCATCCTTTACTTTTCATTCCTGACTGAGCTCTGTCTCCTTTCTGTGCCTCCGCCTCCACCTCTCATCAACTTCTGTCCTTCTTCATTATTATTTTTCTTCCTCAGTATTTCTTTGCTGTTCATAATCCATTAAGTCTTTATCTGCCAAATCCCTATCCTTGTGATCCTCCCCATCAGTGATACCAGTTTATGTACTGCAACATTGTATGTAGCATATGCTGCTAATGTAAAAGTGGCTTTTTAAAAAGCAGATAGCCATAACTGTGTCTCATATTACTCAAATATAGCATAAACCAAGGGCTACTTGTACTTACCACATACTTCCTTAGTTAATATATGAGTTCCAAAAGCCCTTTTTAAAACATGTAGGTAAACATCCTATCAATTGACACAAGAAAAGCATGTGTAAAAAGTTCAACATTTCTCCTGATGAAAACAAACAAAATAGGAATTGAAGGAACATTCTTCGACACGATAAGCACATATCTACAAAAATAACAGCTAAAATGACACAGAAAACGAAAGCATCTCCCTGTGACTGGGAACCAGACAAGGATAGACTTTATCACCACTCCCATTCACCGCTGTGCTAGAAATCTTAGCCTGAGCTATTAGACACAAATAGGAAATTAAAAGTCTCCCAATTGATAAAAAAAATAATTCTATTTGTAGATGAAATGGTCCAGTTACAGAAAATCCCAAAGACGCTTCAAGAACACTGTTGGAACTAAGTATTCAGCAAAGTGGCAAGGTACAAGATCAACATAAAGAAATCAATTGTATTACTAACAAAGGGAGCTCTAAAAAGGAATCAGGAAAACAATACTATTTATAATAGCCACCCATAAGAGGAAATAAACCAAACTGACTGCCATCAAGTTGATTCCAACTCATAATAGCCATGTCGGATAGAATAGAACGACCTCTGTGGGTTTGTGAGAAAGTAACTCTTTATAGGAGTAGAAAGCCTTTTTCCTGTGGAGAGGTTGATAGTTTCCAACTTGACTTTGCAGTTAGTAGACCAACTTGTAACCACTGAGCCACCAGGGCTCTTTGTAGTCACTGTAGTACAAGTGAAATGGTTTGCATCTGTGGTTTTGCTGTTAATATTTCTAATGGCTAAACATCTTTTAATATATGTGGCTACTTGTATATCGTGAAATGTATATTCAAGTTCTTTTGTCCATTTTATTTTTTAAAATTTAATCTTTATTATCATTCATTGTCTGATTTATTTTTTAAACATATGGATACATAATTCATATATCATACAACTCAGTGATTTAAATATATTAAAGAAAGCTGTGCATTCAGCACCACAGTCAATTTTAGTATATTTTCTGCCTTTTAAAATCTATTATTATTAACCCATTTCCTCCCAAACTCCCCTGCATAACCCTAAGAAACTGTTAATCTAATTGCTGTCTCTTTAGATTTCCCTATCCTTTTTTTAATTTTATTTATTTTTTATTTTTTAACATTTTATTAGGGCCTCATACAACTGTTATCCCAATCCATACACACATCAATTGTGTAAAGCGCATTTGTACATCGTTTCTCAAAACATTTTCTCTCCGTTGAAACCCCCGACATTAGGTCCTCATTTTTCCCCTCCCTCCCCGCTCCCCCCTCCCGCATGAGCCCTTGATAGTTTATAAATGGGTATTTTGTCATATCTTGCCCTGTCCGATGTCTCTCTTCACCCACTTTTCGGTTGTCTGTCCCCCAGGGAGGAGGTCACACACAGTTCCATGTAATCGGTTCCCTCTTTCCTACCCATTCTCCCTTTACCCTCCCTGTTTTGCCACTCATACCACTGGTCCTATAGGGCTCATCCGTCCTGGATTCCCTGTATTTTCAGTTCCTATCTGTACCAGTGTACCTCCTCTGGTCTAGCCAGTCTTGCAAGATAGAATTCGAGTCATGGTAGTGGGAGCGGGGAGGAAACCTTTAGGAACTAGAGGAAGGTTGTATTTCTCATCATTGTTACATCGCACCCTGACTGGCTCATCTCCTCCCCGAGACCCCTCTGCAAGGGGATCTCCAGTGACCTACTAATGGGCTTTGGATCTCCACTCTGCACTCCCCCCATCATTCACTATGGTAAGATTTTTTGTTCTGATGATGCCTTACACCTGATCCCTTCGACACCTCGTGGTTGCATAGGCTGGTGTGCTTCTTCCATGTGGGCTTTGTTGCTTCTGAGCTTGATGGCCGCTTGATTACCTTCAAGCCTTTAAGACCCCAGACGCTATACTTTTTGATAGCCGGGCACCATCAGCTTTCTTCACCACATTTGCTTATGCACCCATTTGTCTTCAGTGATCCGTTTGACACCCCGTGATCACACAGGTTGATATGTTGTTCCATGTGGAGATTTCCCAATCCTATGTTTCATATAAGCCACAATCATTGAAAAATAATGAAAACAGATTAAGACACAGGAAAAACCTCAGTCCGAAAGATAGCAGAGAGTAATAAAAGCTAGAAAAGTTAAAAATTGATCAAGATAGAAAACCAATGGTAAGATGTTATATTTTAACTGTATCTGTAGCAATCCATTTCCATTGCACTCTGCACAAGATTATTCATATCCTTAGTTAGTGTACCTAGGGACGCCAATGGAGGGGCTCTGTAAATGGATTTTGGGTTTCACTGTCATCCACAGCCTTCTGCAGGTGAGATGCTCAGAATTTAAATCCTGATCTTGGATGATATTATTGATAATCCTTTGAGCACACTGGTAAGTGTCCTTCCATGTGGACCTCGCTGACACCTCACTGAGACTTTGTTTTAAGATAAGCTTTTAGAACCTCATATTCTATCTGATAGCCAGGGCACCATCTGATTTCTTTACAACACTGCTATAACACTCATATCTTCAGAGATCATGAATCAAGTATGTAAGACCGCAGAATAAGAAACTAGTGTTCTTACATTAGGGTTTATGATTAAGTGCCAGCTCAAGATCCATGCATACATTATCAGTTTATATATGTCCCTTGTCTACTTTAGAGACAGCATTATGAGTTTCTTGAGAATAATATAAATAATTTTCATGGGACATTTGGAATTCAAATAATAGTATTAATTTAGCCAAGAGTATAGAATTTAAAATATTATTGAGAAAGCCTTTACGCATTTTGTGATTGGCTTGTCTTTTTGCTGTTAAGTTGTCAAAGTTTTATCTATATATATTGATGATTAGATTCTGACTTAAGATAGTCTCCTGGTCAGTAGCTTGTGTTTTCACTTTTTTTGTAAAGCCTTTTGATGACTGGCTCATTTTGTGGGGGGGCGTTGTTTGTTTGTTTGTTTTTCCTATCCTTCATGCTAGTTGATAGTTTCTTCTCACAGGTGAAATTTAATTATTTAATTATTTAAATGTAATATTTTTTATTGTGAAATAATACATATATGAAGTTTGTCATTTTAGCCCTTTGGTGCTATTGTTTGAACCATTTCTTTGTATTCACTTATACATATCCATTTTGGCAAATTGTTTTAGATTTTTTGTTCTTTTACATTAAAGTAAATATATTTGTAAACATTTTTTAAAGTGTTTCTTTCTATAATCTAATTGTTGCTATGCTCCTACTGCATTTTGTCTGACATTTAAATTTTTTAAACAGGTGATATTCTTGAATTTCATGGTGCAGAAGGAACGGGGAAAACAGAAATGCTGTATCACTTAACATCACGGTGTATACTTCCAAAGTCAGAAGGTGGACTAGAAATAGAAGTCTTATATATTGACACAGATCACCATTTTGATATGCTACGGCTTGTTACAATACTTGAACATAGACTGTCCCAAAGCTCTGAAGAGATAATAAAATCTTGCCTTCGAAGATTCTTTTTAGTCTACTGCAATAGCAGCTCCCAGTTGCTTTTCACCCTTTACTCACTGGAAACTTTGTTTTGTAGCCATCCCTCCCTCTGCCTTTTGATTTTAGATAGCTTGTCAGCTTTTTATTGGATAGACCGAGCCAATGGAGGAGAAAGTGTTACTTTACAGGAGTCCACTCTGAAGAAATGTTCTCAGTTCTTACAGAAACTCGTGAACGAGTACCGCTTAGTTCTTTTTGTATCGACACAAAGCATCATGCAAAAATCCTCAGACTCAACAGAAGGACCTCTCTCTGCCTCTAAGAGTTCAAGTTGTGAGGACATAAACTACAGACCCTATCTGTGCAAGGCATGGCAACAAATGGTAAAGCACAGAATATTTTTTTCCAAGCAAGATGATCCTAAAAGGAGCAACCAATTTTCCTTAATTGCACGTCACTTAAAAAGTAACAGTCTTAAAAAACATTTTTTCATTATTGGAGAAAGTGGGGTTGAATTTTGTTGATATGTATCATAAATCAGTCTTTTGCAGGATGTTATAAACCTTATTAAAAGTCTTTTATAAGCTAAAGTGTTTTTTTTCTTCTAAAGTTTTATACTCCAGGGGAATGAACACAATAGTATTTCTATATAGAATGGATTTCATAAACTTATACAGGAAAACTTCAGACTTATTTTTCTTGGTTATTGAAGACTAATCAAAATATGAACTACTGAATTTGTTCTAAAATTTAGTAATATATACATTTCAGCCGAAATAAAATACATACTTAGTATACAGTGTCACTTTTCGAAATTCAGCGTAAAAACTTTTCTAATTACTATTTAGGAAAGTTCAAATGCAGTGTTAATCTATCATAGTAACTTTAGCAAACTGACTTTGGAAAAAATTTAAATAGACCTTTTATTTCTACATAAGGTATGAGTCAAGGCCACTCATACCTCTCACTAACATTGTTATGTATGTGTCAACCCAACACTGCACCCTATGGTTCTGATGTCATATATGCCTCCACCCTTCCTTACAAGTTTTGACACCACTACTTCACTGGATTCTATAACTCATTGCAGTGACCACAGAGAACTCACAGACCACACTAACAATTATGTTTTATTAGGGAAATTGCTGGTGTGTTTGGTGCTGTCATGTCAGTTCTAATTCATAGTGATCAACCCTGTGTACAACGCAAAACAGCACACTGCCTCGCCCGTTCCACCCTCACAATTGGTCTTAGGTTTGAACATATTGCTGCAGCCACTGTGTCAATCTATCTTCTTGGGAGTCTTCCTCTTTTTCGCTGCCCCTCTACTTTTCCAAGCATGGTGTCCTTCTCCAGTGACTGGTCTCTCCCTGTAACATGTCCAAAGTCTACTCCTACACTTAGTCTTGTCATCCTTTCTTCTAAAGAGAATTCTGGCTTAACTTTTTCAAAGACAGTTTATTCTTTTGGCAGTCCGTGGGACTTTAATATTCTTCACCAGCACGGTCATTCAAATGCATTATTTCTTTGTCCTTTCTTATTCAATGTCTAACTTTCACATGCATAAGAGATGACTGAAAGATCATGGCTTGGGTCAGGTGCACCTTAGTTCTCAAACTGATAGCCTTGCTCTGCAACACTTTACAGAGGTCTTGTGTAGCAGATTCGCCAAGTGCACCTTTTCTTTTGTTCTCTTAGATGCTGCTTCCGTGAGCATTGATTGTGGACCCAAGCAAGATGAAATCCTTGACAGCTTCAATCCTTTTTCCCATTTATGATGTTATCTATTGGTCCTGTTGTGAGGGTTTTTGGTTGTCTTTATGTTGAGTTGCAATTCATACTGAAGGCTGCGGTCCTTGATTTTCCTCAGAGTGCTTCATCCCGCCTCACTTTTAGCAAGCAAGGTTGTCTTATTTGCATATTTGTGTTATTTGCATATCACAGGTTATTAATAAGCATTCCTCCAGTTCTTCATATGGCCCAGCATCTCAGATTATTTGCTCAATTTACAGATTGATTAAGTATGGTGACAGGATAAACCACTGATACATACTTTTCCTGATTGTAATCCACTCAGAATTTCCTTATTCTGTTAAAAAAAACTGCTGCTTGATCTGTGTGTAGGTCACTCATGGGCACATGTAAGTGTTCTGGAATTCCCATTCTTCATGAAGCTATTCATAGTTTGTTATAATACACACAGTTAAATACTTATGCATAATCAATAAAATACAAGTAAATAGCCTTAGAATATTTTCTTCTTTAACCCAAAATCCATCTGTTGTCGGCACTGATACTCCTTTTTCCACGTCCTCTCCTGATTCCAGCTTGAATTTCTGGCAGTTTCCTGTTGGCGTACCATTGCAACTGTTGTTGAAATTCTCTTGAGCAAACCTTTACTTGGATATGATGATATTAATGGTACTATTTGATCGTCTCCACATTTTTGAGGTTACCTTTCTTTGGAATGGGTACATTATATAGATCTCTTCCAGTCAGTTGGTCAGGTAGCTGCTTCCAGATTTCTTAGCATAGGAATGATTGCTTCTAGGGCCACACTGATGTGGAAACATTTCCATTGGTATTCCATCAATTCCTGGAGGGACGTTTTTTGCTGATACCTTCAGTGCAGCTTGGACTTCTTCTTTCATTACCATACATCCTTCATACTAATTCTTGAAATGGTCTTTTTAATACAGTGAAGCCATGCATTCTTCTATCTTCTCTTGATGATTCTTACATCATTGATTATTTTGTCCAAAGAATCTTTCAATATTGGAACTCAGGCTTGATTTTTTTCTTCAGTTCTTTTAGCTTGAAATATTCTGTATTTTTTCATTTTCTAATTCATGGCTTTGCATATTTCATTATAATATGTTGTCTTCTTGAACTGCCCTTTGCAATTTTCTCTTCATCACTTTTCATCTTTTCTTTTATTTGCTTTAGCTGCTGTGAGATCAAGAGCAAGTTTCAGCCTTCTGACTCCACTTTGACCTCTTCTTTCTTCCCTGTCTTAAGGACCTTTTGCTTTCATATTTGATATTATTAATGTCATTCATCTCAAAGTCATTAATGTTTAGTGAACCAAATCTATTCTTGAAATATAATTGAAATTCAGCTGGAATGTACTCCAGGTTGTATTTTGGCTCTCGTGGATGTGTTTTAATTCATCTTCAACTTGAACTTCTATACGAACAGTGGATAGTTATTTCCACCTTCATCTCTTTTAGCTGCTGATCCTGAACTGCACCATCATCTCTTCACACTGATGTAGATAATTCCTGTGTGTTCCATGTGACAGAGCCACTTATATAGTCTTTGTTATGTTGTTGACAATAGGTGCCAGCAATGAAAATCATTCGTCTTGCAAAATCCTATCCTGTGATCTCCAACTTCATTTCTATCAAGGCTCTATTTTCCCTCTTTGTTTCCAAATTGTGTATTCCAAGTGCCAATAATTATCAATGCATTTTAATTGCATGTTTGATCATTTTCAGAGTAAAGAGGTTGGTAGAGTTCTTCAATTTCTTCACTTTAGTGATTGGAGTGTAAATTTGAATACTAGTATTAACTGGATTTCCTTGTGCTCATATTTATATTATCCTCTTGTGGACAGCATTGTATGTCAAGATCTTTTTCTTTTTTTAAAGTCATTTTATTTGGGGCTCTTACAGCTCTTATAACCATACCTCCATTTTGTCAAGCACATTTGTACATACATTACCATTATCCTTTCAAAACATTTTCTTTCTACTTGAGCCCTCGGTGTTAGCTCCTCATTTTTTATCCTCCCTCACCCACCCTTCCACCCCCATGAACCCTTGATAAATTATAACATTTTATTTTTTTATGTCTTTTTAATCATTTTATTCGCTCATACAACTCATCACAATCCATACATACATCCGTTGTGTCAAGCACATTTGTACATTTGTTGCCATCATCATTCTCAAAACATTTGCTTTCTACTTGAGCCTGTGGTATCAGCTCCTCATGTTTCCCCTCCCTCCCTGCCCCTTCCCCAATGAACCCTTGATAATTTATAAGTTATTATTATTTTGTCATGTCTTACACTGTCTGATGTGTCCCTCCACCCACTCTTCTGTTGTCCATCCACCTGGGAGGGGATTATATGTAGATCCTTGTGATGGGTTCTCCATTTCTACACCACCTTCCCTCCACCCTCCCGGTATTGGGACTCACCACTGGTCCTGAAGGGTTCATTTGTACTGGATTCCCTGTTTACAGTTCCTATCTGTACCAGAGTACATCCTCTGGTCTACCCAGATTTGTAAGGTAGAATTGGGATCATGATAGTAGGGTGGGAGTGGTGGAGCATTTAGGAACTA